ACATTATTATTGTTTTTTTCTTAATTACATAACATTATTACTATTACAAATTTATTCCAGCAGGAATATCAGGTTTCAGGTTGCACTGAAAATGCAACAACAGTTGGTAGAACCATATTTTTCTTTTGTTATAAACCACAGAAACTTATTATAACGTTAGTGTGGTGGAAAAGTATTTGACTATAGGAATGTATGGGGTGTCAAGTGTAAAATAAAATGTAAAACAAATATATCACTAATTTCCATGTCATCATTATTTAGCTCACTTTCTGAGTGTTAAAAATTTTCTCCTAACATTTGTTTTTTTCCTTGATGTTCTTAACTTTAGCTAGTTTTTACTAAATTTTACATTTAAATGTTGAAAAATATATGTAAATATTAAATCCTAAATCTAAATGAAAAAGTTAGATCTTAAATGTTGCATTAAATGTTGATATTTGCATTAAAATGTTTCAGATTTAAACACAGCCTTTGCTGTTGGTGCTTGGCTCTTGTTAGGATGTTATCATCCCGAGACATTAGCAACCGCTAACGCTTCCCTACAAGACATCAAACTTTCAGTTGCGGCCGGTGTTGAAGCTGCCCTCCATATTGTTTTCAATAAATACATTTTTGAATTTAGACTTTAAATGCTATCTTCAGAAGCATTATATGAAGTGGTTAGCATTAGCTAACCAGGATGATGTCATCATCCTGCGACAAACATCAATGCTAGTTGCTGCTAACTCTTCTAACGCTGCTGAATATGGTATTTAAAATCTAAACAAATGTACTCACTGAAAACAATATGGATGGTACCTGTGATCCGGCAGTTTGAAGTGCAGCTCAAATACCGGCTGCAACTGCAAGTTTGATGTCTCATAGGGAAGCGTTAGCACTGTTAGCATTTGCTAATGTCTCAGGATGATGACATCCTAACAAAAGCCGAGCACCAACAGCAGAGGCTGTGTTTAATTCTGAAATACTTAAATGTAAGTTTCAATATTTAGGATCTAATTTTTACATTTAGGTTTACACATTTAGATTTAGGATTTAATATTTACATATTTTTTTAACATTTAACTTTAAAATATAGTAAAAAAATTAGCAACATAAGAACTGTGAGCTAAATAATAAAATGTTAGTGGACATTTTTAAAACACAAACTGAGCTAAACTGTGGGACAATGTTAGTGACATTTTTAAAACATTTTATTTGACTCTTGGCGCCCTGTAAGAATCACTCAGACTTCTGAAGGGATTTGAGTTGGTGTTATGAAAATCTGACAGTAATGTTCATTTAAACTGCTGTTAAATTCATACTATATGTTTTATAGTAATCCACTTTATCAGAGGTTACCTGCATTTTTGTCCACAGTGAGGTTGTTCAGTTGTCTACAACAGGTAAGATAATATTTGTTCACAATCTCACCACCGAGCCCATTTCAAAGGATATAACTATCTCTTTAATTCCTCCTAATCTGACTGCTTTAACTGAACTWAGCTCCAAAATTTTCCACCTAAACGTGAAAGTTGTGTTCGTCACAACAAAGACCTTCTGATGAAGCTCATCAGGGYGAATCTTGTTCTCCTTGTAGCTGCTGTCAGTCAGAAAAGCTGCAGGTTTAACAACATTTTTCTGCAGCAGCTCAGCCTTTGTCTCATCTGTGTGTGTGTGTGTGTGTGCGTGTTTGTTAGGGTGCTGATGTATTACATTTTATGTAGGACAAAATAACCGGCTGGATTGTGTCCACAGTGAGTCAGGTTGCGGGACACACCCTTTCTAATTTTATTATGAACTCTTTTTACCAGCATCTCCAACATGTTTGGTTGGTTCCTTATAACAACCCTAAGGCCCAACACTCARCTTCACTGTGTCAAAAATCAACAATAAAACACACAAATATTTGAGTGAAGGTAAACAGTAAAAGGAAAAGTTTCTTTTGGTCACAGCTCAGTGGAACACATGATGTTTTTCAACTCAGTGAGCCCTAATTTCCATTTGAAGTCTCCTAAAGGCTTCAGTTTATTCCATTCTGTTAGTCTCACATATTTTATGCTTAGCTAAAGCAAAACCCTTTTTTATTATGTTTTTTAAACTGAGTTTTAATCTAATCTGCGAAAAATTAGATTCAAACAATGTGTTGTGACAATTAAACTGAACATGTTTCTCACACACAACTTTTAGTATTGTTTTCTGAATTCCCTTCATTTATATAAAGATATAAAAACAAAAAAGTTCATTTTTGGAGGCAGAGGTGTCACAGCAGCACAAATACGATCAGGGATTATTTTCTGACCTTTTCTTTTTTTTCTAGGTTGTATATTTACAGTTTGTGTGACAATAAGAATGCAATAAGAATTTTATCCTTTGATCTTTTTTTGGATAAAAGAAACTTTGAGCTTTTCCCCTCAGTCATGTCATTTCTGATCGTGGGCACCAGATGTTTCTGTAACACCTGTTTTTTATTGTCATCTAAACAAGTGTGGCAGATGTGCAGCATCTTCTTTTAGTCACGCAAAAACCCGGCAGTAAGATGAAAAGGTCAACATCACAGCCTCGGGGCTATTTTATCGATTCTTTACCTTCCCTTTTAGACTTTGACTCCACCTCGGGGGATTTTGTTGTAATATTTTGCTCTGCTGCTGGTGTTGTGGAGTCTGACTGCCTGCAGGAGCTGCAGAGTGGCGTCATTTCCCAACTGAAGAACACATCAGCATTAAACAAACGAGTTCCCCCTCAATACGTTTCCTCCTCTGTCTGCTTTCTATCACTTACATCAACACGCTGCCAAATCAAGGGAATAAAATGATCCCATAAAGAACTGCAGCTTGATAAGTTTGTGCAATGTGTGTTTCATTGTTTAATCTTGGAAATGATGAGATTTAATCATAAACAGTAACAAATGTTCACGTCGAGTGTTTCCAGTGAGTAAAAAAACCCAAACAGACACAAGGAGGACGTTCAGGCTCCTCCCAGATAGGTCACAGAGAACATTTGAACTTTCCGCTGCAAAACACCAACTCACTGCACAAAACGAAACAAGAAGTCAAAGTCCAGGACAGCTGTGTGTCCCCCAGCTGCAGGAMACAAACACTGTTCCTGAACATTTATTTTTTTGTTTGTCTGTACGTACTTTGCACCCCTGGCATCAGACATGGAGAGATTAATAACAGGAGACTGACAGGTCATATAAAGCATGTCAGCTCATTTAGCTTTGCCTTGAGAAGTAATAAACTGATAAGACAACATCTCATCAAACTAACTTTGCTTTCAGCAGGAAAACCTGCAGCTGAGCTCACCAGGGGTCAACATGATGGGAAAATCCTTCATTTCACGGCAGCAGAAATTAAATAAATCAAACCATCGACACTGTCTGATTAAAACCTCAGACCTTCACTTTGTTGATGAGAGCTGATTAAAGGTTAATCTGAGTGCAAAACCACAGAAAACATCAACTATAGGCTGAGATTTAAACCCTCATGATGTGATCTGCAAGTTCTTTTTTWAARTATATTTATTTAAAACACTTCTTCCAGCTTAAATGTCTCYATACTTTAGGGGAAGTTGAGAGAAATAAGTTCACATGTTGAGATCAACATAAAAACTGCTTATAGAACAGCTGAATGATCATTTCTGAGCTTTTCTGAGAACTCTCCTTCTTGGTACTGAAATAAAACCCCTGAACAGTTCAGGTCCCTCCCTCCCTCCCAAAGGGAAAAGCTTTCAAAGATCAGTTCGGCGTGCTATCAGCGAGGTGTGGGGGGCGTGGTAACGAGCTGACCGCCACACTCCCTGGCCAAAGTTCAAACAAAGAATGCCATCACCGTGCTGTCAAAGAAATAGTAGAAAGTAAGGCCTCAGTTCCCAAACTCTCACTGGTCAATGTTTTCGGGCCAAATTCTCCGAACAAACAAAGGCTGTGAAGGAGCCACCTACAGCAAACAGCCACACAGCCTGGAGCGTTCATCAGAACCAGAGACCTGCAGCTCTGTTGTCACAGGATTTTTATCATGTTGGAGTTGATTCGCTCAGTTCAGCTGAGCTCAGGATTTCTCAATATTTTCATTTGCCTTTTATTTATCTTGGACTGGTTCGGTCTGAGCTCAGATTTGAACTAAATGTGAAACAGCTGTTTGTGTGTATTATCACACAAACGCACACACGTCAGTCGAGCTTGTACAACTGGACCTGATGATAAAAAGACATAAATCTCAGACGCCCCACCTTCTGTCTGCCAAAGGTTTTTGCATCATGTGATGTTAAACTGCTCGAAGCTAAGATTTGTTCGTTCAGGAGTTTCTAAGTTTAAACAAATTTTTCTGAACAGGTCTGACGTGAAGACGAGCGGGACTCGAAGTGGCCAAATTGTGGAATTTCACTGCAGGATGTCAGACTCACTGTGTCTGCAGGTTTTGGCTCCTTGTTCCCATTATTCCCTGCAGGTAGAGTTAACCTGAGACGTCTGATCCTCCTCTGTGGAAAAAAAAGACAAAGATTATAGCCTACACAAGCAAACACAGAGTTTTCATAGTAAAGGTGAGTCAATAATTCACATCTATCATCAGTGCAGTGTATTTATAGACAATAAGGAAACAAAGTTTATATGGTAAAAGTGTAAAAAAAACATTGTTTGGTATCCCCAGTTCAGGGAATGCACTATTGGACTTTCTCTACAAATAAAGTGTGGTAGAAAAGGTTTTCTGCAACAAAACATTCCAGCGTTTGTAGATTTGTTTGTTGAGATGTTCAACGTGGGAAGAAAAGAAGCAAGCTGCCTCCAGAACAAAGGCCTGTTTTATCAGAGAGCTGTTCAAATAAACATGACATCCCTGCCTCCTGCCCACTCCTCTCTGATTACACGCTTGTGCAAGTGAGAACACCTCACGAGCAGAAACCCACCAGCTCTGAGGTCAGACTGAAAGAAATGTGGGCTGACCGATTGGGTCTCAGTGCGGGAGAGAAACTGAGGACAAACAAAAGGGAGGAGAAGAAAAAAAAACAAAATAATGGAGAGAAGGGAGAGACGAGGGAAGAGGTCTGGACCTCTCGGGGACTTCTTACCTCACTTAAAGGGTCTTCAGGGTCCTCTGTGGTGGTGGTGGTGGTGGAAACGGTTCGTCTTGGACCGTAGCGAAGCATGTCTCCTCTTCTGTCCACTCCTCGCCTGTCGCCCTCTGCCTCTCCAGCCCTCCTCCCACCCTTCCTCTCACTCTCCTTCCTGAGTTCTGCTCAGGCTCTCATCTGCACCCCACCACCTCCACCACGGCTCCGCTCAGGGAAGAAGGAGGGAAATTCCACTCTGTCAGCCTCCTTCTGCTGCAGGTCCTCGGGGGCCCCTGGGGTTCCTGAGGTCCCCCCCCCTCACCTCTGTGTGTGTGTGTGTGTGTGTGTGTGTGTGTGTGTGTGTGTGTGTGTGTGTGTGTGTGNGTGTGTGTGTGTGTGTGTGTGTGTGTGTGTGTGTGTAAAGGAAGGTGCAGTCCCGTCCGGTCCCAGAGTCAGCAGCTTGAACACATCTGTGTCAGACTGAGACAGACTCGTCAGTCACCTCCCGGCCGCTCTGTTCCCATCAGACCCGCTGGGCCACATTTCACCTGAGAGCTGGACTTTCACAGGGCGGGTCCTCGTACGGGGCTGGGACAGGTGGAGCCCTGCTCATCAGGCAGGAGGGAGGAGCTGAACTTCAGACGAGCAGTTTATTCATTCACAAAACGCATCGACGGAGGATCTGCCTGAACACAGATTATAATTTACAAACTTACAAACTCGTGGTTTTATAATAAAAACAAATGTGAAATTAAAACAAACTAATAACATCWTTATAAAAAACACTTAAACTGTATGAGCTGATTCATAAAACAGATCTAAAACAACTTTTAATCAAAGCGGTGAAAYAAAAGTAACATATAACTTAAGCTTCACAAAAATATAAGATGATTAAAAAGAAAAAGTGACGAAACGGTACAAACAAACAAAAATCTAAATTCAGGATTTCAGCTTATAAATACTACTACTGTTGTTTACATATAAACAACTCAAGACTTAAAGGCCAAACATTTCTTGAAGGAAAGCCTGTCGCCCGCCGTCCTCCATATTAATTCATCCGATGAGGAGAAATGAAAAAAGTTACTTTGATCAAACTTTAAATAATGTCCTGTCGCCCTCAGAGTATGTGTTTTTGAACGACTCTCAGCTACTGTCACGTCGAATTTTAACTCACCATCTTCAAAACTGAGTTGGAGTCTTTGGCGGCCAAATTGAATCAGATGAGCTCCAAGAATGAAGGAGCTGTAGACGTGAGATGATTAAYTCCTGGAAATATCATTCAAATCTGCCCAGTGGTTCACAGGAAACAAAAACAGTATTTTTTGCATTTATGCTGAAGGTGAAAGAAATAATTATGAAAACTTTTCAAATGATTATGTTTTGAGCACATTAGCTCTTTAACTTGAAATAATCTGCAAGCGGGAACATCTTTTATCTTTTCAAATGTTTCTTGTTCCAGCTTCACAGTCTTCATGTTGCTTCAGGTCATGAATTATTGACACAGCTGATAATGGATATTGATGAAAAGGATCCCAGCATGGCAGCCATTATTATTTAATGTTCCTGCTGCCTGCCTACCACAATACTACCAAACGCTTCCCTCTGTGCTTGTCTGTTTACACGGATGCAGAAAACGAGTGACGTTCTTCCCAAAGCCAGGTGACATGTTCTACCTGAGAGTCACTCCCTGCTGAGGAACAAAGGGCCGAGCCGAGGAGGAATGAGGAAGATAGAGGAGAGTTGCAGAGCTCGCTCGTTCAGCTGAATGCTGCCGTCAGTTCTGATCCAGGTCCTGAACATTAATTTCTCAGAATCCAGAGAGGCCTCTCTGCAGGGCCTGAGTGGTTAATCAGTAACTGAACAACAAACAAAATGCTGCTGTGATCACTGATCTGCTCACCAGCATCCTGTGGACGTCCCTCCGGGGGCGTTTCCTCTGTTTCACTTTCTGACAGGTGTGCACTCTCACCATCACAATCTGGGTTTGTTTCCAAGAYGTTTGTTTCCTGCTGTGTTAGTAAAAGTTACAGCAGGTCAGCTTAAGTGTTGCCAACAAGCAGAGAAACATCAAGAGCATTCATAGAGCTTTTAACAAAACAAATTTACGTTTTTCTAACATAATAACTGGTTAATCTGACAGCTTCAAGTCATTCTTAATGTAAATTAAGCTGTTTTATTTGTATTTGCGCTTAAACATTATTATTTCGCTGATTTCCAGCTGCCTAAAAGTTTGATTAAACATTTAAATACTTTAAAATGCTGCAGAAAACCTAAATTAAAAGAGTTGTCTCTTTTTTAATGTTAATGTTTTATTTGATCAAGTCAATCAGCAGATAAGTTAATTAAAACGTTCACAGATTATTCATTCAAGAAGCTAATTTAAACTTGTGCTCAACAGGGATTTAACCGTTTRTCTGCACAGGAAGGTTTAATGAAACTAAAACTGATCACATCTGTGCAGTTCACTGAGAAACTCTTGTTTTTGTTCTAACAGTGTTTCAGACCGGCCTCACACTGAAACTTCAGATGTTTGGTTTGAAACGTGCAGCTCTGTCCCGGTTCTGCAGGACAGAGATAAGCACTCGGTACGTGTCCAGTCCCGTCAGGAGGTGGGTTTATTGTTTGATCAGATCTCCTGCTTGTTTAGAGAAGATTTACTTATTGAAACTGAAAACTTCCCTTTGTCTGCTCGGCCCCACCCTGCAGCTCTGGACACAAAGTTTTAAAAACTGAAACAAAAATACTTAAACAATTAAATTGTGTTTAGAAATAAAATCATTTACTTATGAGTATTCCTACTAGATATGCAGCAGAAACAATAAAAAAAGATAGTAATTGTTTTTTTAAGTGTAAAATGTTGTATACACACTATTTATGTTATTGACTAAAAGATTAAAAAATATATGGAAAAGGCTAAAGTTAAGGTGCTCTAAGAGTTAATCATTCATTCATCAATCTTAACCCAACGTCCTGCAGCTGATCTTATGAAAAAAACTCAGTTTGTCACCAATGATTTATATAATAACAATTACAACAGCTGTAATGTGATCACAGAGACGTTTTCAATGAAATGCTTCAGAGTCAACATAAGTTGTGTTAAAAAGGTGATTAATGAGTCATCCAAATGAAGCTCAGGCATTATAATCAGCTGATAATCCTGTATTTAAACCCACAGTTTTAAATTGACTGTAGTTTCTGATATAAACAACTGTATTTTTGCCATGGATTTGACTGGTGAGAGCATACTGGGTGTTTTAAGAGAGTTTTCCTGCATCTCTACAGTTTTTTTATCCAGCACCCACGGCCACATTTTAAAACTTGCAGGTGAATAAAAACTTTGTCAGTTAAAAGTTTGTGCCTCTCCTGACTCAGAGGTCTGCAACCTGCAGCTCTGGACCCATCAGTTCTGCCAAATATTTTTAGTCAAGATGAAAAACAAGAAGTTGTAACCAAAGTGCTGCACAATGACAGTCTTAATTTAATCAAAAGAGGTAAAAATTAGGTTAAAATTTTCCTTCTATGTATTTTTTGTCCAAACGTAAAATTTGATAAATGTCAGCTGTTTATGATAAAATATTTAGTTTTATAATGTAACAAACATTTGACAAGTCTCATTTGACTTATCGTGATCATGTACAAGTCTTAACCACTAAGTTGAAACAGAAATTATACGTTTATTCAAAAATTAGATCCAATCTGACATCTTCTGTTTCAAATATCTATCTTCRTGCCATTATACTTTCAACCATGTCGTAYTGTTTACCTGTTTGGTCTCTTACAACAAATGAAATCTTAGAACCCATAGTTAGGCTCTACAACAGGACCTACAAAATTCATAAAAAAACTTCCTGGTTGGACTCATCACTGTACAGTTCTTTCATTGTCTGATGCCTTGACTTTTCAGAATTATGTTTTGTATAGTGGTATTAATTTATATTTTCAGATCTTCCAAGGTGCCAATTATGGAACTCTCTGTGCATTGCTGCCCAAATCAAATTCTGGAAGTGGTCATTCAACTAGATCTGTCACAAAAGGACAACTGATATTACCAACTTTTAAAAACTGTTACGGCCAGAGGTCTTTCTTCTATGTTTATACTAAAGCATGGAATGACATTCCTCAAAACGTAAAGTCCATTTCAAAACTACAGCCCTTTAAGAAGAATCTTGTCTGCCATCTGCTGGACACTTTCTGTTGTGCTCATATTTAGATGTCCTATTTTGCAAATGCTGCCTTTTTGAAATTTGGTATGCTTGTTTGTCTTTGTGTCTATGGTGTATAATGATGTGATTGTGATGCTGTATTTCTGAGTGTTTATGTGCTGCAGAACAGGAACCTGCTGTAAAACAGCAATTATGCTGAGTCAGGCTTGATTTTTAATAATCTTTTCCTGTTAAATAAATAAATCAAATCAAATCAAACTCTAGCCTTTTATCCATAATATATTTCTGCACTCTGTAAACTGGATTAACTTTATTTCAGTCAAGTCTATTCTGTGGCTCCAGGTAAATTATATTATTTTGAATATGAAGGTTGCAGACTCTTGATGTACCTGAGCAGACAGGATGCATCAATTACTTGAGTGGAAAAACGCAAAGATAATAAAAACAGATTCTAAAACTACAGTCCAGCAGCAGCAGTACTCTGTGTTTTAGGAGGAATGACTTTATGCACAGACATCCTCGTAAGTCAAACCTTTAAGCCTCCTAAAGACATCCTGAGCTGCTGATGGAGACTCTGAACACACAAACACAGAAAGCAGGTTTGTCCTGCTTCACTGAAACATCCAGGCCCCGAGGCGTTCAGTGGATGTGTTTACTCCCTGTCGTCTTCTCACCCTGAGTAACGATGTCAGAACTGAGTGAAACAAAAACAGAGTTCTTTCCTAAAAGCTGCAGAACAACAGGTCACACCTCTGAAAACAAAAGGTTACATCATGAGAAAGCATTAATGCATCTGTGTGCTGCGTTTAATGAAGAAGAAATAATTCACTTTAAACTGTTGTGGTTCGTCATCAGGATGTAAGGATGTGGGAGTGTCAGACTTCCTGCTCCGAGTGCCTCTGGGCCTGTAAAGATCTCACAGCCTCCTGTCTCACATTACAACCTGCAGTTTTATAACGCAACTTGAAAACACATGAACACATGTACAAAATTCATAATAAAAGCTGATTATTTTCCAAAATAAACAGGAATATTTATTTGTTTGTTTATTTCCAGTTAGTGGATGATGCTGGTCTATGAAAYTGGACTTCAGTAAGTTTACCAGGCAAGAGCTCCAAAATATTATATCGTTTTAAAGTTTTCCAAATGCCTTACTTTACTTGTTTGCAGCAGTTCGAACCCAAATCATTGGTTTTAATTGTCAGCAGTGAGGAGTTGGACCCAAGTTACTGAAAAACAAAAAGGAAACAAATCTAACATGTAAAACACAAAAAAACATAAATCAATAATTAATATGATAAAGCAAACGTCAATTAACTGCTTAGCTTTTGTTTAATTCGTTTCAGATTTCTTTCTCAGTGTCATTT